TTTTTTATGTCATTTTCTTCTAGTTCATTTGTGTTGGGGTGTTCCAGTCTTGTTGGTGTAGGGTCTCTGGATTCTGGCAGTGTCATATTGCTCCTTGTGTTTTCATATTGTCTCCTTCCCATCTGTTCTTGCAGTGAGTTCCAGAGGGTTCCTCTTCCTCTCCTGATGGGTGTGGGACCAGGGTTCCCTTCTGTTGGGTGTAGGCAAGTCCATTCATTGTTCTGGTAGCTCTCCACTTCCTGGTCTCATGGATGGAGAAATGGACTAGGATGCTGGGGTGCTTTGGATCCCACTGAGATGGATGGGAGCTCCAGTGGTAGACCCCAGGCACAAGAGTGTGGCCTGGAGACAGGCCCTGATAGTCTTTGTCACATGGGTGGAGCAGGAGACTTGGATGCTAGTGGGAGTTTGCTCCTGCAACTGGGATGGTAGTCCCCAAACACTGGCAGCCAGTCTAGTCCTGGTTCTGTGGCTGGAGCAGGGAACTATGGTTCCTTGGCTCCTGCTGCCTCTTCCAGCGTGGAAACTTCAGTGGCAGAGCCCAGGGCCAGGTCCTTTTTCACTTTTTAAAAAAAATTTAAATTAGAAACAATCTTATTTTACATATTAATCATAGTTCCCTCTCCTGAGGCCCGGGCAGTCTATGGGGCCTCTGGTAGTGGAACAGTATTTATCCCTAGTGTACGAATGGACTTTCGGGAGCCCATTCCCGTTAGTGGGATACTCTCTCAGCCTAGACGCAAGGGGAAGGTCTAGGCCCTGCCCCAAATGATGTGACAGACTTTGATGATCCTCCATAGCTCATTTCTTTTTATGATAGAATAGCATTCAATTGTATGAATGCAGCACTTTATATACCTATCGACTAAAGGTTGTCTTGATTAGTTCTAAACTTAATGCTGATGGAAATATTCCTATCCCTAAACTTTGTCTTTGAGGCAAAAAGTTTGATTATATAGCCCATGCTAGTCTGGAATTTACTATGGGGCACAGTCTAGCCCAAGACTTACAATAATCTTGCTCAGACTCTTGAGTGCTGGCATTACAGGTCTACCCATAAAGCCTGACTTTTAATGACTAGATTATTTTTTTTCCCAAGGCCATGGGAATGTTTGTTGTGTTGGTTGCAAATTACAGAAAACATGACTCAACCTGCTAAGAAAAATTTGTTTTTCTCACTTATGTGAATGTAAGTCAAAAATATGAAGAGCTAAGGCTGTATCCAGCTACTCAGTCAGTGATGCTTCCGCTCAGTGAAAATCGATCCTCAGTGTCTCCAGTGGCTTCAAGAGTCCTTGAGTACATCCATGAGAAAGTGTGCACTAAGAGAAGGGTGAGGAACTCCCACTTAGTGATGACTAGATTATTTTATAGACATGTTTTCAACTCATTTGGGTAAATGTCAGGGATCATAATTGCTGGTTTGTATGACAAAAGCATGTTCACTTTTCTATGAAATTGTTAACCAGTGTTCCTAAATATCTATTATGTTTCATATCCCCTAAGGCAACGAATAAGAATTCTTAGTTTTCTATAACATTGTCAGTCTTTGGTGTTGAAGTAAACTATCTTTGCCTGATTATATTGGCTTTGCTCCTTTGTCAAAGATAAATTAACTCGACTAAAGTGAGCCTATTGCTTAGCCCTCTATTATGATCCATTGATTGGTTTACATGTTGTCACCAGCACCACACTGTTTTATCTTCTGTAGTTTTGTAGTAAATCTTAGCATTAGATAGTGTCAGCCCTCTGGCTGGTTTATCCTTTATCATTATTTTAGCTGTACAGGTTGCCTTGAGTATTTCTATAAACCTTGGGATCAGTTTGTGGATGTCTATGAAAGTACTGGCCTTTTTTTTATTTTTAGTTTTTAATTTGGCTTGTGTTGAATCTATAAATAAAGTTTGGAAGTACTAACATCTTAACAGTATTGAGTTTTTCTACCCACTAACAGGAGATATCACTACTTATTTAGTTCTCTGATTTCCTTAATTAGAACAAAGTTTTATTTTTAGCTGAAAATGGATTTTTTTCATGCAGTATATTCTGATTATGGTTTCCTCTCCCCCAACTCCTTCTGATGCTCCCACCCACTCAAATTCACACCTCTTCTTTCCTTCTCTTATTAGAATACCAACAGGCATTTAAAATAATAACAAAGTAAAATAAGATAAAATACAAACAAGAATAGGAACAAACAAACAAATAGAAAAAAAAGAAAGCCTAAGAAAAAATAGAAGAAATTCATACTGATGCTGAGACACAAACATTTGCACACAGAAAATTGATAAAAACAAAATTGGACATCATAAGATACATACAAAATATCTGTAAAGTAAAAAAAAAAAGCTCGGACAAAGCTTTGTGAGACAAAGAAATTCTAAACAATGCCACTCGTTTCATTTTTGTTTTGGGTAGAGAACCTGCCCATAAGTATGGTCTATACAGGTTCCCTAGCTGTTATCCAGAGTTGTTGAGTTCCCATATCCTTAGGTCAACTGTCTCTGTGGGTTCCCTTGTCATGATCTTGACTCCCCTGGCTCATAGGATCCTTTTCCTCTCTCTTTAACAGGATTTCTGGAGCTCAGCCTAGTCTTTGGCTGTAGATCTCTGCAAAGGCTTCCATCAGTTACCGAATGAATGCTCTCTGATGGTAATTAGGATAGTCACCAATCTGATTACAGGGGAAGGCCAGTTCAGGCACCATCTTCACTATTGCTAGGAGTCTTAGCTGGGGTTATCCTTGTGGATTCCTGGGAGTTTCCTGGTACCAGGTTTCTTCTTAACCCCAAGATGGCACTCCCATTAAAATACCTTTTTCATTTTTCTCCCCATCTGCCCCACTCACAACCTGCCCAAACCAATCCCTCATATTTCCATACCTGATCCCTGACCTTCTCCTCACCCTCCCACCCTCAGTTTACCTAGGAGATACCTATTTCTACTTCCCAGGGACATCCATACATCTCTCTTTGGGCCCTCCTTGGTACCTAACTTTTCTGGGGCTGTGAATAGTAGCCTGGTTATCCTTTACTTTACAGCTCACGCTTGGTATAGCTGGGTCTTGAGGTAGATAGTTAGCCATACCAATTTCAAAAGTAGCTGTATGAGTTTGCACTCCCACCAGCAATGGAGGGTTGTTCCCACTACTCTACATCCTTTCCAACATAGGCTGCCATTAGTGTTTTTGATCTTAGCCATTCTGACAGGTATAAGATGGTATCTTAGAGTTATTTTGATTCACATTTCTCTGATGGCTAAGGATGTTGAACAATTCTTTAAGTGCATCTCAGCCATTTGTGATTCTTCTGTTAAGAGATATCTGTTTAAATCCATACCCATTTTTAATTGGGTTATTTGATATTTTGATGTCTAGTTTCTTGAGTTCTTTATATATTTTGGAGACCAGACATGGGCTTAGTGAAGACCTTTCTCCATTCTGTAGGCTGCTGTTTTGTCTTATTGACAGTATCCCTTTCCATACAGTATCTTTCAGTTTCAGGAGGTCCCATTTATCAAGGTCAGAAAATCCTTTTTTTTAACCAGTTTGCAGACAAAGTTTTAGAAAATCATACATGGGTGTTGAATTTTGTAAAGTGATGTGTTCCTACATCTATTAATATGATTGTGTAACTTTTATATTTTGACTTCTACATTAATTCATGTTTTGAATATTATAGCCTACATGCCTGAAACCAATTTTATTTGGTTGTAGTATATGATAATATTTTTCCAGTTATGAATTTCCTGCTTTGAATTATTGGTTACTGGTGTATAGGATCATATTTGATTCTTGTATATTGATATTATAAACTTGCTAAGTAATCTATTATACATATTATATACAGATACTTAAGTTAATACAAAAGGCCACTCATCTGAAGTCTTGAGGGCACCCTCACAGATCTTTAGGACTCTTTTTGTGTGTATTTCTCCTTTTCATACTTGAAACTAATGGTATCCACCTAGGTTCCTGCTCCATGTACATGGCCTAGAGATGTTTTTCAGGAAACAAGTGCACAGGACTTTTTTTGTTACTTGTATATCACAAACATTTTCCTTAATTGCTTGATACTCAATATCTTTAAAATTATTGTTTCATGTATGTTGTTGTTTATTTTTTTAAAGAAGCACCATACTTTGTATTTATACACCACAAATTTTCAACTGTTCTTTTGATGGTAAGTATTTAGATTATATATTTTTTCTTTTAAAAAAGAAATATAATGAATATACTTTTCAATATTATGGAATTATTCAATTTTACACAAACAACTACCAAATGAGATACTCACAACTGTATAAAATCATCAAAATTTGTATGCCTACTATGTGATCAGAATTATGTTAGACTCTGTATGTAATTCTATTTAGAGTTCTTATTTAAAGATAAGATATTCCAGCCAGGCATTAGCACTTGGGAGGCAGAGCCAGGTGGATCTCTGTGAATTTGAGACCAGCCTGGTCTACAGGGAGAGTTCCAGGACAGCCTCCAAAGAAACCCTGTCTCGAAAAAAACCAAAAAAGGGTAAGATTCTCCAAGTAATTAAAGGATAAAGGGAAAGATTAGAATTCACAGATATACTCGTAGGTACTATTTTATTTAGAGTCATAAGCACTTGAGATAGTCTGAAGAAACAATGCTTCCAGAAAGTTAAAATGTGTAGTAAAATATGATGTGATCTTAACCTAATTATAGCACATTGAAATCCAGGACACGACATAACACACTTTCAAACTTTAGTGCAAAGTATAAAATTAAATAATTTAAGATCTCAGTGATTCATAAATATTTTTATGAATATAAATGTTTGTATTCTGCTATAGATGTGGGACATTGAAATGAATCAGTACTGGCAAATGCCCCCAGCATTATAGAAATCAAACTGCCATTCATTTTAGCTGACTGGTTGGTAGTGTGAATCTTTTCTTTCTAGTTCTCTCATAGTGTGTATTTTATTTATAAATCTATATCACTTATCAGAGTCTGTGTCTTCAGAATGATTTATATTTCCATCACTTTTTCTCCCCAGATTGGTAGTTTCTGGAGGGCAGGGACACTATGTTCTTCATGGTTTTCAGTTCTACTGAGTCTGGCTAAGTTTTAGATATGATTAAGTAAGTCTGATGCAAGGCTGGGGATTCAAACCTCTTTGGGTTTAATTGGGATATAATTAAATACATAACTTGGAAATACAATGCTGAAGATGCCAACAGTCCTATGTGAAAGTAAAGTTCAGCTCTGCTCCTGTAGGGAGTTTGGCAATGTGTACTTGTACCATAAGAACATACCAATAGAGTGAGAGATGAGAAAGGCAGAAAAAGACATCTCTCTGTGACTTGAGGGAAGAAAACCTCTTTTAGGAATTCATGGTCTTCTTCTCTTTGTGTGCTTTTGAGCTCTTGCTGTTGGTGTATATATTACTGAATTCCATGTATATATAGATAAATTTTAGATTAATGTTACACTGTTGGTTTAGTACTGGGCTGTTAGCTCTTTAGCACTGTTTGCTTGCTTTTAAAAAAAAAGGAATAAAAGCTTGGACTTGAATGAATGCTTTGTATCCTCTTTCTCATCCATTATAAAGTCATGAGCCAGTGGAAGGAAGAAATATTTAGTGTTAATTGAACAAATGCATACAAAGATTACTTTTCACAGGAAGTTCAAGATTTGTTGCTTAGGTGTAGATCATCTAGGTAGTCTGCAATTCCTCTAAAATGGAAATTTCTATTGGGGTCAAGTTGTTAAATTTCAAAAAGAATTAGTAGGAGTTTGCACTGTGAAGTGTTTCTTTAAGGCGTTTCACATTAACTCTTACTTGGCTATTTCCAAAAGGAATGTAGAAGAGAATAGCTAGCCAGCAGTTAGATAGAAAGAACCTTCAAGAATGTTGGTCTCAAAGAGTTCAGAGCATAACTAAGGCATGATCCTCTGATGACAGACTTGGAGAGCCTCATGAAGGGCCTCACCCTCCTTGGAAAGTGGAGTGTGGATTGGGTGGGGGGTTGAGGGAGGGTTGAAGAGGGGCATGGGAGGAAGGGAGGGGGAAGGAGCTGGGATTGACTTATGAAGCAAGCTTATTTCTAATTTAAATTAAAAAATAAAAAGAAATCTCAAAAAAAGACATGATCCTCATTCGTTTTGGTTGTTTGTCTACACTGCTCAATCCAGGCATAAAGAACTTCTCTGGGCTTTCCTGAAGCACTATGGAGATATTTTATTCTTCTGTTCATCAGGGATACTACTCTCATACAAGCGAAGAGAAAACAAAATGACCTGTGACACCCTGAGACTGTCCCATGACCGAGAGAGAGATTGTAAAGTTGGTGCACAGTTTGTCTAAAAGTAGGTCACTTTTGTCTTTCACCGATGATTGGCTAATCAAAGCAATTCTATGGGTAGAAGGCTGGGAGATCATCTGGAATTTACAATGAAATGACTCTGATGTCTTCTTGCATGACGACTTGAAGAAATATATTTCCAATCCCACAAATCAAATAGATAGTGGTCCAGGGCTAACATTTCATCATCAGTGAAGAGAACCCAGTGAGGCAGATGCTGTCTCTAAGATCAGCCCATTTTGTACACTCAAACCTCAAAGATAGCCTCTTGTAAGGCAGGGTGGGTGTGGCATGTCTTATCTTTCAGATTTTACACACAAAGTTTACTTTAAAAGAATAGCAAATAGCAGATCAAATTAAATACCTGCTCATTGTGGAGCATGAGGGTTCATGCTGTAATTTTTCCTATTCTGATGACATAACCAAATAAATGGAGGCAATTGCTATTTGAAAAGAAAGAAAGAATGAACCTTCAAGAAGTAATTTCTGCATTAAAAAATTGTTTATGATACGATATGAGGTGGTGGTGGCACACACCTTTAATCATAGCAATTGAGAGACAGAGACAGGCAGATCTTTTAGTTTGAGGCCAGCCTGGTCTATGAGTCCCAGGACAGTCAGAGTTACAGAGAAACCCTGTCACAATAAAACAACAATTTTTTTGGTAAATGTATCATTTATCCCTGCCCATTGTGTGAGCAAGGTTGAAGGTGAAATATTTTTCTTCTTCTGGCCTCTATATTATGTATATTGAAATATTTGTATCATAAATTGAGAAGTTCTGAGCATAGCTGGATCTTTATTCTCTGTGGGGCCAGGTTTTTCATACCAGGCACAGGTGCAGAGTGGGCTAGAGGGAGCATTGGCTGAGAAGAAGAAAATCCTGCTAAGATGCCTGTCCATACTGTGTAAATTAATGGAAGACAAGATTTCAGAAAAAAAAATGAAGAACAATGAATTTAGTCCTGCTTTTGTTGTTGATGTGTAAATGCATAGATTCTGCTACACAACACGTATTTCTCTGACAAATTTTCTCTCCTGGTATATTTTAATATATGTCTAAATTTACACATTTCTTTAAAAATGTAACATTAAAATATACCTTCTTTTATTCTAGTAATTTGTGGAATCAACTTGGTAGCAATTGAATCTGGACTTTGGATGAGAATGAATTCCTTAAACAATGCAAATGGATCATTTCAACTTTTTGTCCCGTGACAAACCTCACTCAAATGGGCATATCCAGGTTTGATCCCCAGAAAAACTTTGGTGAAATAAAGCAACAAGTATGAGAGATTTTGTATAGGTGTGCAAAAGTGAGTGTGTCAACTCTAAGACCTTTTTGTAGAAAATGATAAAATAATTTAAAGTATTTATTTCACTATTCTTTCATAAGAATATAAACATAATATTGGTATGATTGCAAATTTATATTAATTTATTTACTTATGATGCAGGGACTGAACCCAGTGCCTTATAAAGTGCTCTTTTACAGAGTTACATCCACAGTTCTCCAAAAATGGTATGATTTAAAGCATCATAGTTTTTTGATTTTTCTTAAATTTAAATTAGAAACAAGCTTGTTTCACATGTCAGTCTCAACTCCCCCTCCCTCTCCTTTTCTGCTTCATCTGCATTGGGATGTTTGGGTATTGCTGGTGTAGAGTCTCTAGATTTTGGCAGTGTCATATTGGTTTTTCTGTTGTTGAGTGTGCTTTAATATTGTCTCCTTCCCATCCCTTCTCCAATGGGTGCAGAAAGAATCTCTTCCTCTCCTGGTGGGTACAGGACCAGGGTTCCCTTCCTGTGGGTGCAAGCAGGTCCAATATTCTGGTATCTGCTGCAGTCCCCAGACCTCATTTGGTGTGTGCAGGGCACAAGAAGGTGGCCTACCTAGTCCCATCGTGGGTGGTCAAAGAGACTAGGATGCTGGGGTGTATTGACTCCCACCTGGATGGGAACTGCAGTGGCAGTCCACATCATAATTTAAAAAAAACTACCAATATTTCATTCCTGATAGCCATTCTCTTGGTAACATAAAGATGAGCAACTTGGTATTATTATTAAGTAAATCTTCCTTGTTAGCTAAAAAAATATTTAGATTATTCCCTCATTCCATGAAGAGTTTCTTCACATGGCCAGTGACCTCAGCATCATCACTTGGTTTACACGTAGTTTGGCCATCAGAGTATCAGTCCTTGTCAATAGCATCATGTTATTCATATGCTGGGCCAATGGCAATGACTGGTTTTTAACTGATGTTTAGTGAAGCCATGGGCTCTGTGGATGTGCCTCCAGTATTGCTAAAGGGGAGCAAGGGCAGCATTATCTTTGCCCAGTTTTAAATGATAACAGTTTCATGTTCATTGGTTTTCTGTAGTAGAGTTCTTGAAAATCTTTGGTTTTTGAAGAATTTTACTCTCTAATGAAGATATTTGAAACCCACAGTAAAGATGCACTTCTTATCCTAGTTTTTTTCCATCTCTATTTTCTTAATAAAAATTCCTCCCTGTGTAAAACTGAAGTGGAAATAGAAATACCTACACAATCAGCACCTAAAGTACTAGAATAATTTATAATTGCTACAGTTATTAATGATGTATCATTAATGGTAGCTCACTAAGAGGTATAGCAGAGGAACAATAAATTACAGGCTGTGTCTAGTTTCTACCTCTTCAACGATTTCTTCTAATTTTAGAAGGCAGATAGGAAAGCAAGTGAGAGAATGGTAGAGTTTCAGGGAACCACTCCTAATCTGCTCTAATTTATCAAAGAATAAATGATTTACATGACTGGCACTCTAATTATTACTACTGAAATTATTTCAACATTTCTTTTTACTAATGATATCACACTGGTTGAGAGTTTTCTGTGGTAAGGTGCAGAAAGCAGGAATTTTAAAGTATTTAAATGAAATTAAAATATTAAATTAATGTTGAGAGCATTACTTTTAAAGTAAGAAATTTCCTGATTGCAGAGGCTATATTCTATTGAAGATTCCTTAGAGTTCTGATGACATAGGTTTTATCCCATGTTTATTTCATAATTGTAGTCCCAATAGAAAAAGATTTAGGTAGCAAGAAACAATCCTAAGAGAATGTGCAATGACTCCACCCCACAAGGTTGGTGTGGCAGTCCCACAAAACATGTGGAAAGCATCCATGAGCATCCTGAACTTCCTCTTTTTGAGTGAGTGGGGTGAGGTAGGGGACAAGGCTTGGATAGCAAAGGGCTGGTCAGTTAATCTCAATGAGACAAAGCAGATTGTTTGTGGTACCATGGTTGTCAAAGTGGAATTTTGTGGGAGATCTATTGGGAATAGAAATTCATGGAAGAGTTATTACCAGTATAAGAACCTATACTGTTTTTGAACTTAGTTGGCCAAATATACAGAGTTTTCTTCAGGAAGAACTTTCTCAAATTACCACAGACTAGCTAACTCAGAAACCTGGGCCAACAGTGCAGGGAATGATGGCTGATGGTGGGGAAGTACAGGGTAAAATGACAAATGGAGGCTGTGATGAATATTCTTGGTTGTCAACTTGACTGCATATCTAATAAACTAAAACCCAAGTGGCTGGGTACATCTGTGGTGGATTTTTTTCGAGTTATTTGTAGTGGGTAGACCCAATTTAATCCAGATCCTTTGAGGTGGGAAAACCCACCTTCAATCTGGGTCAGACCTTCTGCTGGCAGCCTGTATAAAGGACACGGGAGACAGAAGCTTTTGCTCTTGGCCTGCTTGCTGTCACTTTTACTGGCCAGTCCACTCCACCCACTTCTTTGGGATTCCAGTATATATGAAGACATCCAGCTTCATGCACTGAACAGCTATGGGATTCTTGGACTTTCTGTTGGTAGATAGTCATTGTTGGAATAGCTGGATCACAGCCTGCAAACCATATGTGTGTGTGTTCACTTACCAGATATATTCACACACACACACACACACACACACACACACACACACACTATCATTTTGTTTTGTTTTGGTGTGTATGAGCTAGGCAGTGGGAGGGGTGGGTAAGCACTTATTTGGTGACAGTGTTTAAGAGGGAAAAATCTAGACCTCTTGTCCCCAGAACCAGGAGTCCTGAAAATTTTATTATGTTCCTCTTTTCACAGCACATACAGAAACCCATGTGACCAATCCAATGAATTCAGATGTGATAACGCTGTCACCTCATAAGTCAATACTTACTATACAAAAAGGGTTGAGAAACTTCAAACCACTGGCATTACGGATATTATTAATAGAGGCTGTGATTTTCCTGCAGGAATTCTGCTCCAGACCCTGAGGAAAATTGCCTCAGCTATGTTTTATCAAGTGTAGGGATGGCCATAGTGAAGGCATAACCCATGAGGAGTAAGGAGAGCGTTGTCTGGGTATGCCATGGTTCCCTCATCAAGAATGCATGTCAAAGGTGGAGACGAGGTGATGTCATCTTACTATTAAGACAATTTCTGGTTACCTGGAAAACCTGTACAGGTAACTATTGGTGCCTTCTTTGCATGGAGTGCATGTCTGCCTGAGGGGTCCCGGCTAACCTAACAGAGATGCCCTTTGCTCTTCAGGATTTTATACTGAACTTATCAGAGTCTGAATGTAGCAATAGACAGTGGTCAGAATTCTTTTTATATGGTTGACCTCATTAGCTTGAAGCTCTTCCACAGCTTCTTTAGTAAATAGTTCAGGAGGCCATACCACATCCTCTGAAGCAACAAGTCCAGGAAGCCAAACCGCAGCCTATGCAGCTAACACCCATCAGTGAGACTGTGGTCAATGAGTATGTTTCCTTTTTTGACTCCACTTCCAACTCAGAACCAATGAGAGAAGGACAAACATTCTCTTCACACTAAACCTACAAGACATTCTGCGTCTGCCCGCCTGTTTTTCCCTTTTCCTTGGGGGCAACAACTGCTACAGAGAGCTTCTCTGCAGTCTTCCCTTGCTTTCCCACATCACCGTCTGCCTTTGCATCCCTCATTGTGCTTGCACCCTGAGCACACTTCCTGCTTGTTCTCAAGGCGGTTGTTTCCACCTGTCACCTCTTTCTATAGTGTATATGCTTGTTTCCATGAAATACTGGTGTTTAATGCTAATGTGTTCATTACCAGTGAGTAAAACAAATGATTGCAGAATGACTATTTTTAATCATGTAACCTGAGTTATCCAAAAGTCTTAGTTTGGGAATCATTGACTCTCGGGTCACAGGATCTTATGAAAAAAGAATCTTATTGTAGTATAATATACATTGTGTGTAATTCACTCATTGAAATGTGTAGTTCAGTTACGGTTGGTATAGTTATGTATTATACTATCAATTCCTTATAACTATGGATAGTCTCATTCCTGGTCCATCTCTACTCTGAGACAATTGCTAATTTCTAGACAGTTGACTTTACTACAAGTTTTATGTAAGTAGCATCATTTAAAAAAAAAGACTCGTATTTGATTCCTTTAAACTAGCATAATATTTATGGGGTCATTCATGTTGTAGAACAAACCAGAAACTTGTTCCCCATTTTTTATGGACTAGCATTCCTCTATGTACACATACTATAGTTCGCATTATTTATCAGTTCATGGACAGTTGTGTTAAAGTAGCAATAAATGTTTACTAAGGAAAAACTCCTTGTGGTCAGGAGAATAGAATCTCCAGCTTGCATGGAGATTGAGCCTTGTCAATCACCTGATAAAGTGACTACCCCAGGAATGTTTACCTTAACCTTATACTAAACAGATAGGTGGAACATTTTTTCCTTTATAGAGATATTTTATCTCCCCACCTCACCCCGAACTCCCTTCCCTTATCACAGTCCTTATAAGCCATCATGAGGTTCATTGGAGTCTGCCTGCCTTTTGGAGGCCTGAGTCAGAAAGGCCCAACTTTCCCTTTTTCTTTTGGTCCCATAGTTTTCTTTTGGCCAGAACCTAAGTACACTTTTTCTGATATGTTGGCCTTTCTTACTTTCTCTAAAGCTTTTCTCCCTACTATGTGTGTGACCTCAGTGCTGGCTTAAACAACACAGTTTCCCCCTGTGTTTCTCCTCCATTCTCCTCTGGGAAGCTACTTAGATTTAAAAATCCTGGAGGTTTTTCCTTTAAGGTCTAATAAAATTGGCCTTGTGCTTCACTTTGAGCCCATACTCAGCTATTTGTTTCAGGAATTTCAGTCCATCATGGCAGAGATGGAGCACAGCTGAGTATAACTGTTTAAGTCATTGTCAGAAAGCAGAGAGAAGGGTTCCAGAGCAAGATGTAATTTCCAGACACCCACAATGCCCTACTTACAA